ATTTTGGGTAACTATCAGCAAAGTTAATAAATTTCTCGTTATTTTTTCACTTCAACATTATCATAAAATGGATAATCATGATCCCTCTCTCTCTGAAAGAAATACGAAATATTACATTATGCTGCAAAGGAGGTGCTACCATGATATACTAGAAATGAAGAATTACTTAATACTCCATTTATACCAACAAAAAACGACTGTCTCAATGATAGGCAGTATCATAAAATGGAAAGCTCAAAGATCAAGAAATAAAAAATGCATCGGTTATACAATTTCCAGACATATTATTAAACATGTTAAAAAAAAAAAAGCAACGTATGGAAAAGTGTATACAGCATGCTACCATTTGCATGAAGAGAAAGGTATACATTTATACGGTTGAATGCAATAAAACAACATCTCTTAAAAGCCCATGAAACTGATAACTTCTGCCTCTGAGGAAGGAAATGAGAACTGAAACATGGGGTAGGGAGAAAACTTACCTTTCACTGTACTCCTCTTTTTGTACTGTTTTTGGTTTTTCAGATGTACATGTCATTACCTAAGAAAATGATCTTTAAGAGACAGCTGGCTTCTATTCCTGACTTCTTCATTAACCACACATGTGACCTCACATAATCACTTACCTCGATTTTATCCATTTTAAAATGAGATCATACTCAAGGTCTAGATTTCCCATCTACAATTCAATAGAATTATGGCTCAAAAGGAGGTGTACACAAAATTCCACATAGTGAAATTTAAAAAAAATCCTTATTTTGCAGTGATTTACATGTCATGATATTATAATTATTTACATTTCTGCTGGCTCCATTCTCTCAGGCTGTAAAACAACATAATAAAAGCAAGAGAGTTTGGGAAGAAAATTCAGGTTTGTGGACTTGATGGTGTTCCCCTTCTTTTTATTGTGTCAAAAGTAAAAATCTGCTTGAATGATTCCTCTTTTTTAATATATACAAACTATTATTTCTAAAAGGTCACTCTCAAAACATTTTGATAAATAAATATTGAAAATAAATGTAAAGAGGTAGAATTTTTATGATTTTTTTATGAGTTTCAAAATAAATCCTGAGATAGGAAAAAGGGGAAAAATCACTTCCTGTATTCTCCTTAAATCATCCCAAGAATCTCATAAAATCATCTATAATCTTCCGAAACAGAAGATACTACCAGAACCAGAGGAGGGTAGCCAAGAATGGACCAACACAAGGCTTAGACATGAAGACTTGGGAAAAGAAGAAAACTGAAACTTACACCTTACAGAACACAATGGATGCAGACAGGCCCAGTGGCCCACTCATTCATAACCCTACATGCTATCTGGTGAAAACACTAGTCTTGAGTCTCAAAGGGCATTGCGTCTAATCATGGGGACAACATAATTAATAATGTAAAAATAACACAAAGGATGAACGTGAAAAATAAATGGTAAGGCAGAAGATGTGAATTCATCAGAGGAGGAGGTCACCATGGTTCAAACTGTCAAGAACAGATTCATAAAAAAAGACAATGGAGTTTATATAACAATCAAAGTGAAGGCACTGGCATAGGCAAAATGAAATTAGCAAGAGAATTCAGTCTTTGAAGGATAGTAGCAAAGTAGTAGTTGGTAGTAGGATGATTATTTTAGTTTGTTGTAGTGTGATTCTAAACAGTAACCTGGCTAAATATGCCAGAAATTATTTTTAAATATGTCGCTCCCTCTCTTCGTGGAGGAACGACACTAAACCCTGCCTAGGCTTCATATCCGAGTCACGGCACCATTATGTCGCTCCCCGTCTTCGTGGAGGAACGACACAGGACCCTGTGCTGTTCTTTTGTCTGCTCGGCCCTCCCCGGGTTTGCTGCTGGTTCTTCCCGGGTTGGCTGCCGTCCCTTCCACCTCCGTGGAAGGGCGGTTCCCCCTGGCCACTTTCCCCACTTCCGCGGGGGAGCGGCACACCGCCGGCCGGCTCTCTCGGGGGCTGCACAGGTGTTCCTTCAGATAGATGTTCCCCTTAGATGTTCCTGGTGCATGTTGTCTCTCTCCTCCTTTATAGTCCTCTTCCACCAATCCCAACTCTGCTACCCACACACTGAGTACGCTGCTCTCCTCCAATCAGGAGCAGGTCCTACAGTTTATTGGTTGAACTGGAAGCAGCTGTGTAGAAGCTGTTTCTCCCTTCTCAGCGCCATATTGTGGGAGAGCAGATGCATAGAATAAGTCTTAATTCCAGTAACTTAGTCTAGTCCGAGTTGCTCCCAGTTGCTCCCCACAAAATATTACTTTGAAAAGTTTTCTTTATAGAGTACTACATAGGGAGCAAGAGTTTAGCCTAGTTATGAAGATGCCTGCATTCCACATTGGAGTGCCTGGGTTTCATTATCAGCCCTGGGAAGCAGGGACAATGACTCAAGTTACTGGGTCCCCACCACCCAGATGCAAAAGCTGGGTTGAGTTTCTGACTTCCAGCTCTGGTTCCTGCTCTGGTCCCAGCCCAGCCCCAGCTGTTACCATAATTTGGGGATTGAATCAGTCTCTCCCCAGACTCCCTTCCTCCCCCCCCAAAAAAAGGTTTCTCCATAGGAGTGATGACATGCTAGTAATATATCCAAACTGACTGACTATGCTTAAGTACAAGATCAGCATACATTTAGATTCGACTCTGTCATAGGGCAGGATCCTTACATATGAGAAAAACTATACTTATACATGATGTTTGGCAACCTCTTCCAGTATTTTCTTACAGGTACCTAATATTATTTCCTATCGCAACCTTCTTGCTCAGGAGCCAGCTCCACCCAAAAAACACAAAGCCAGGAAATCAAGAAGTGCCAGTTTTACTTTTCCATTGATTACATTTGTGAACTGGGGCCTAGTTGATGAAATAGAATGGTGTGAGTTTTGCTACCAAACATTTGTGAATTAAAGTAAAATTAAAAAAAAAAACTATCTTCTATCAGTGATCTAATGATCTTATAAAACTAAAGAAATACCGTATAACCACTTAGTAACTTTTGGCAAAATACACAATGTAAACTCAAGGTATTCATTATCACATGGATAAAGAATGTGTGTTCTTGATAACACACTGATATACCTAAGAGTTCTAAACAAAATTTATCTCTAAAATGATGGAACAGGGAAAGAAAGAACATCAACCAATATAAAGAAGCTACTCCGGCGCCTCAGCTCAATAGGCTAATCCTCCGCCTAGCAGTGCCGGCACACCGGATTCTAGTTCCGGTTGGGGCCCCGGATTCTGTCCCAGTTGCCCCTCTTCCAGGCCAGCTCTCTGCTGTGGCCAGGGAGTGCAGTGGAGGATGGCCCAAGTGCTTGGGCCCTGCACCCCATGGGAGACCAGGAGGAAGTAGCTGGGTCCTGACTATTGAAATGAGCGCGGTACCTCCGCTCGCAGCGCGCTGGCCGTGGCGGCCACTGGAGGGTGAACCACCGGCAAAGGAAGACCTTTCTCTCTGTCTCTCTCTCTCCCCCTGTCCACTCTGCCTGTGGGGGAAAAAAAAAAAAAAAAAAAAGCTACTAAATGAAGTCTTCAATGTAGAAAGTACCTAAAATTCTATTCTGTTGTCCATTTTTATTATAATTTTTCTAACACTTAAGTACACATATTACCTTAGTCAATAATCTATTAGTAATTTACTGAGATGTGACTCCATATACAGAGCTTGCCAGGAAAAAAAAAAAAAAAACATTTAAACAAATTAAGAGGAAGATTTGAAACTAGTATTAAAATCAGTGGTTAATACAAAGGCACTTCTAAGAATTCATGGAAAATGGAATTAAAAGATGTTTTATTTTGGTACAAAACTTTTGAAATCCATGCACAGAAGAGGCCTTCACAATGGCCACAGAATATATTATGAAAAAAATTATGCAGATTTCAATAACTTCTATCAAAATAAAATTACCTTTTAATTCTATTTTACATGAACTTTGTGAAGTACCTTCATACCATTCTGTGCTAGTTGATGACAATATTAGGCTTTTATGCTAATCCCTATTAGCAATTAAAAGTTCAAACAACAAGGAAAATAAACCATTTTCAACACACCAAAAGTTTGCCTCTTTTCCCCATTTCACTATACATCAAACAAGAAAACCTTAGCTATCTCCTCTAGTTCAGATCTGTCAGCATTCCTTATTACTTATTTCAGTTTTTAGGAGTCATAACTTATCCATGAAACTTACTCTACTGAAACTTGACATACAGTCTCCCAGGAATTCTTCCCTTTAAAAGCAGATTTTAAAAGTTATAAAAAAAAAAAAAAGGCAAAAAACTGGATGGCTTTCTGTATTCAATCAATAGTTTCAATCTCAAGCAGAGCAGACTTCAAAGTCACTCTGTACACCCTGGTAAGCAGCCACTGGCCTGTGGGTATAGGGGGCAAACAGGCTGTTGCTTTTCAGTCTCGGGAGGACAAAAATTTCCATTTGATTTCTAGTAGTTATCTGGATGATAAGATCAAGAAAAGTCCTACTGTTAGGTTCCTCCTTCAAAAAGGGGGTGAAGGGGCTCGCGCCGTGGCTCACTTGGTAATCCTCTGCCTGTGGCGCCGGCATCCCATATGGGTGCCAGGTTCTAGTCCTGGTTGCTCCTCTTCCAGTCCGCTCTACGTTGTGGCCCAGGAGGGCAGTGGAGGATGGCCCAAGTGGTTGGGCCCTGCACCAGCATGGGAGACCAGGAAAAGCACCTGGCTCCTGGCTTTGGATCAGCGCAGCACCGGCCATGGCGGCCATTTGGGGATGAACCAACAGAAGGAAGACCTTTCTCTCTCACTCACTCTCTGTAACTCTGTCAAATAAATTTAAAAAAAAAGGGGGGGTGGTGAAAAGGAAAGAAACTAGTGAGGGCCATAAGAACATATACGACAATGCAGCACCTACTGTTTATTATTTTAAGTATTCACCAGCCCAAAAAGTGCATCTTTGCCAAGTAAAATTAATGTGTTTCAACTATTTGCTCAACTTCTAAGAACACCTTGTTTTCCCTTGGACTCAGGCTGTGGATACTAAACTCCTCAAGTTGATGGCATGGGTCATGTTGGAGTATCAGAATCCCACAGGCCTGACGGCTTCCTCCTGGTGTTCTTGCCTAGATGAGCTACACCGTCACAGTTCCTGACTTTGTCAGAGGCATCAGGGCTAAAGCAAGAACTACTCCTGGACAGATCAAAGCAACGAGACTCAATAAATAAATCCTGTTTGGTCTAAGAAGGCTAATATTGTTTTATTTTTTGAAATAAGCTACTTCCTTTTTAAAGAAATATTTTTAAACAGATCTAATAGCTTTTACTTCAAAATCATCTGAAAACAACACAGTACCTAATACAACTACAACCCCAGAGCTGGCGCTGTGGTGTAGCAGGTTAAAGCCTCTGCTTGTAGTGCTGGCACCCCATATAGGCGCGGGTTCGTGTCCCGGCTGCCCCTTTTCTATTCCAGCTCTCTTCCAGTGGCCTGGAAAAGCAGTGAAAGATGGCCCAAGTACTTGGACGCCTGTACCCATGTGGGAGACCCAGAAGAGGCTCCTGGTTCCTGGCTTGGGATGGGCCCAGCTCTTTCCGTGGAAGCCATTTGGGGAGTGAACCAGCGATAGAAGACCCTTCTCTCTACCTCTCAAATAAATGAACAAAATTCTCAACAGGTACTCCTAATCTTCAAGATAGAGTTCAAACTACTTACTTAACATGTATGATCTTTCTTGATTTGGAATACACTTGTGGTTTCACATTTCTGTCCTGACCAGAAAACTTTTTCTACCAGGCCAGCTCTTTCGAAACTCAAGAACACGAATATAGGATTTATGAGATTTCTTCCCTTTACGGCATTCCCCTCCCAGAGCGCTTGAGAAGAGGAGCTGGGCTGCTCCTCTCTGCAACCTTAGCCCAACTCAGCGCCTTGCACCACAACAGGAGCTCAGAGAGCCAACCTAAGACACTGAAATCCTCTAGCTTTTGATACTTGAACATACTCAACATTAAAAAGGTTTAATTAGCTTACTATTACTCATCTGTCCCCTGATACTATTTTAAGCAATTTCATCTTCTATTCAATAAAGTTTAAGCTGCAAACTTTCATCTCTAAAAGGCAAATAAACATCTCATTTCAAACACAACTAGTCCTGCAAGTAATAAACTCTTTAATTAACATGTGACACAAAGGCTTACATCACGAACAAGGATAAAAAGGAATCTGGGTTAATTCATTCTAGCAAATACCTGTTTGCCTGCATACCTAGGGTACCACCTATGCATCACTAAGAAGTAAACAAACACGCCTGCCAACACCCACAGCCCCTGAATCAGCTGTAGTCACATCAGCAAACCAGCTTCCTATGGTCAGCCCCAGTGAGACCTGGGCTATTTTTAATTCTTAGGAGCAAAGATAATATGGTTCAAGGCTATAAAGCTATTTCCACCCCTATATTGACCATATAAAACTAAAAGTAATAATGAAGAGGACCTGGAAACAATGTTTTTAAAAAAATTTTGAATGCACAAAGTTACTTTAAGAATTGAGTATTTCAAAAACTAAAATTGTCAGTTAATGCCTAAATACCAATAAACAAAACTACTCCTAACAATAGTATGCTGAAAATAAAACACATGCAACCTTCAGAGAGTCGAGTTTTATTTTTAAGGAGACAACTTGCTTCTACATGTATCTGTCTTTTACTTGACCTCAAAAGACCATAGCTGACAGGAGGTATGGACATGAGAAATGACTTTCAGATTCACATTTATCATACATCTGATGGTAATGAGAAAAAAGACAAAAATTCACCTTCTATGTACTGAAACTTTAATGACAGGGAATATCCAACACAAAACTATTTTAGACTGGATCTCAAGCCCATGAAATTCATGAAATAAACAAGAGTAGGTACACCTATACTATTTAAAGAAAAAAAAAATCTAAAATGCAGGGGGCTGTTATTTACAGCCTTACTGCTCAGAGCAAGGATCAGCATGGACATCACATGGAGACTTGTTGGAACTGGAAAATCTCAGGTCCTCCCCAGATGGAGTCAGAAACTGCATTTTAATAAGGTCCCATATAGTCTGTCTACATATTAAAGCTTGACGTTTTCTGGTTTATACAGTTAAGCAGTTCTGGCTAACCCATCAAATCACCTATATAATTGGTACAAAGTGCAGAAGCTTAGATTCTACCAACAGAAATTATAATCTCACAGATGTGGAGTTCAATAATTTTATGTTTTTTAATTTTCATAGGCAATTCAAATTCATGCCCTGGTTAATCAACCAACCACCAGTCTAACCAAGGAAGTTTTGGCTTTACTAGAGTACAGAACTCCTTTATATGCCAAACTCCTCCAGGACACTGAAAACAGGATTGCAGGCATTTATTTTGTAAGAGACAAATGTTAGTTTGCATAGTTACGTATAATCCTTCATAGATTCAATGACTTCTCTCTAGAAAAGTTGAGAAGCTCAACCTAGAGGGAAGCCCTTCTCCCAAGAGACTCAAATTGGTTCCTTACTAGAGCAAAATGTATTTCAAACCACAAGGTATCACTAGCACAAATGTGATTTTTTTATTAACATGATAAAGAGTCATCCAAGAGGGCACCTTTATGCATAATAATAGCAACTGAAATAATTCAATCAACAGCAAAGTTAAAATAAAGTCAAGCCAGAACTGTGGTGTAACAAGTAAAAGCTGCTGCCTGCAGTGCCAGCATCCCATATGGGGGCTGATTCAAGTTCCAGCTGCTCCACTTCCGATACAGCTCTCTGCCGTGGCCTGGGAAAGCAATGGAAGACGGCCCAAGTACTCAGGCACCTGTACCTGCCTGGGAGACTCGGAAGAAGCTCCTGGCTTCAGACCAGCTCAGCTCTGCTGCTGCAGCCATTTGGAGACTGAACCAGCAGAAGACCTCTCCCTCTCTGCCTCTCTGCCCCTCTGCCTTTTTTTTTTTTTTTTTTTTTTTTTTTTTTTTTTTTTTGACAGGCAGAGTGGACAGTGAAAGAGAGAGACAGAGAAAGGTCTTCCTTTGCCGCTGGTTAACCCTCCAATGGCCGCCGCGGCCTGCACGCTGCGGCCAGCGCATCTTGCTGATCCGATGGCAGGAGCCAGGTGCTTCCCCTGGTCTCCCATGGGGTGCAGGGCCTAAGTACTTGGGCCATCCTCCACTGCAGTCCCGGGCCACAGCAGAGAGCTGGCCTGGAAGAGGGGCAACCAGGACAGAATCCGGCGCCCCAATCGAGACTAGAACCCGGTGTGCCGGCGCCGCAAGGTGGAGGATTAGCCTAGTGAGCAGCGGCGCCGGCCTGTAACTCTGCCTTTCAAATACATAAATAATTTCTTAAAAAAATAAAATAAAGTCAAAAGTATGAGAACTAAAATATGAAAAAATACTTCACCAATTTCACTGATTATCACTACAGGCATGGAATCCAAATATGCAAATTTGTGTTTAAATTAATAAATATGACATACATTCGAATTGCTTCTCCCTGATAATGTGCAAAGACTGATGTTGACATGTTCCTGGGACAGTTTTAGAAGTCACTCAACCCCAGCCTCCATCCAAAACTCATTCCCTTCACAAATTTTGTTGGTCAAATACTGTGTCTAGGGGCCGGAGCTGTGGTACAGTGGATTAATACCCTGGCCTGAAGTGCCAGCATCCCACATGGTGCCGATTCGAGACCCGGCTGCTCCACTTCCCATCCAGCTCTCTGCTATGGCCTGGGAAAGCAGCAGGGGATGGCCCAATCCCTTGGGACCCTGCACCTGCATGGGAGACCTGGAGGAAGCTCCTGGCTCCTGGCTCTGGATCGGTGCAGTTCCGGCTGTTGTGGCCAATTGGGGAGTGAACCAGCGGATAGAAGACCTCTCTCTCTCTCTGCCTCTCCTTCTCTCTCTGTGTAACTGTCAAATAAACAAACAAATCTTAAAAAAAAAAAAAAATACTGTGTCTTAGGTACAATACTGGTCACTGAGGACAAAATGAGTGAGAAAGTGTTGTCTTTGGGACTGGCTCTGTGGCGTAGAGGGTTAAACTGCTGCCTGCAGCAACCAGCATCCCATTATGAGTGCCAGTTCGAGTCCTAGCTGCTCCACTTCCAATCCAGCACTCTGCCAATGTGCCTGGGAAAGCAGCCAAAGATGGCCCATGTCTTTGGGCTCCTGCACCCATGTGGGAGAACGGATGAAGCTCCTGGTTCCTGTCTTCAGCCTGGCCCAACTCTGACTGATGTGGGCAGCCATTTGAAGAGTGAATCAGCAGATGGGAGATTGACTCCCCCTCCCCTTCTCTGCCTTTCCCTTTCTGTAAGTCTGCATTCAAATATATAAGTAAATCGTTTTTAAGTGTTCAAATAAATGGGTAATTAAAAAACATACTAGTAACTGTTATGAAGCGATAGGGAGAAGGTGGGCACACACTTCTGGGTGATGGGGAAAGCTTCCAGGGGGTGAAGAGTCCCAATGGAGGGAAGGTGACAAAAGGGGAGTCTAAGCCTGGGCAGCAGGGACTTGAAAAGAGCATTGCTAAAGACGATGCACTTTAGAAAGCAAGTCACTGTGGCTTCCGTACAGGATGGCTGACTACAGAGGCACAAAGGAGAAGAGGCGTCACCTGGAAAGCTATGTCTTATTGCTGGTACAGGTATGAGACAGAGGTGATCTAAACTAAGAAAGGGCTAGGGGATCAGACACAAATAGTGGACGGATTCAAGGGTCAGGGAGCAGAGGCAGCAGACTAAGAGGACGACTAAATGCTGTATGTTGTGGGTAGGGAGAAGCCAAGGACAACTTTGGTATTTGTAGCTTGAATATTCAAGTAGCACACCTTTGTGGAAAAGGGACCATACAAGGAAGTAGAGGTTTTAAGTAGAGTTTTTAATATGGTGACTGAAAAACCTTCACATGAAAATATCCAAGAGTGAGCTGAGTATAAATAGGTCAGGTGAAAGACACAGAAAAGTCCAAACTACACACTGTTTCCAAGTGATCAAGTCTCATTTTTCTTCCAACCCTAAATATCTGGCATAATCCATGGCATAAAGTAGTTGCTCATGTTTAGGTAAATAAATAAATGGGCAAGTAGAAAAGTACTTTAAAATTCAATTAAGGTTAGTCCTTAAACTAAACTCATCCATTCATTACTATTTATTCATTCCCTATTTTAAAAATGTAACCTATTCTTCATGACCCTGGATGAACAAACTTGGTTGATGAAGGAAGTAAAGTGTTATCTTTTGAAAGGTTCCAATCAGCATAGTTGTATTAAGCTTCAGAAGGAAAAGCCTGAAATGTCATTTAAATACATTATGTCCTAAAATGCTGAATAAATGAGAAGCTACATACTGAACACCCCATATGACACGCGGCGTCTGACCTCAAGGAGGGCACAACGCCTACCAAGACACAATTATTCCAAGCTCCAGTTTATGAGTCACATTTCCCTCTAGAAGCTTTCTGGGAAAAACAAGAACAAAACCATGAGAGAGTATGTGGACTACGTCAAAGGTCTACTTGATTAGAATTTCCTCCGAAATGCTAACCGCCTTCGTGAGGCAGTGTCAACACTAAAACTGCTCCGATAGAACGGCCATCGAGCCTGCTTCCATTCTCTGGTAAGAGTTCAGCATCATGCCATCACTGAAGTGTGAGTCTGGGTACAGTTAACTGTTTACTCCCATTCAGGAAATCAATGTAGAAGGCAGAAGGAGGAAACCTATCACATATCTTAGAAAGGCTAGAGCTACAGACCAAGGTCTGTAAGGATGCACAGTCAAGGACCCTGTAACTCAGCTGCCTTCACTGTGTTTTATCTATTTGCCTACACTGTAAGCTATCATCTGCCAGCTCATTCAACCATTTTTAAAATTTATTTTACTTATCTGAAAGAGCAACAGAAGGGCTGGTGCTGTGGCTTAGTGGGCTAAGCCACTGCCAGCAGTGCTGGCATCTTATATGGGCACTGGCTGCTGCCCTTCCAATCCAGCTCTTTGCTATGGTTTGGGGAAGCAGTAGATGGCCCAAGTGCTTAGGCCCCTGTACCCACATGGGAGAGCCAGAAGTAGCTCCTGGCTCCATATCGGCCTAGCTCCAGCTGATGTGGCCATTCTGGTAATAAGCCAGCAGATGGAAGACCTTTCTGTCTCTCCTTCTCTCTGTCTGTAACTCTCTCTCTCAAATATATATATATATATATATATACACACACACACACACACACACACACATACATATATACACACACACACACACACATATATATATATATATAAGAGCATCAGAGAGAAAGAGAGGGAGAAGAGAGAGAAAAAGAGGAGGGCTGGCGCCATGGCCCACTAGGCTAATCCTCCACCTTGCAGCACCGGCACACCGGGTTCTAATCCCAGTTGGGGCGCCAGATTCTGTCCCAGTTGCCCCTCTTCCAGTCCAGCTCTCTGCTGTGGCCAGGGAGTGCAGTGGAGGATGGCCCAAGTACTTGGGCCCTGCACCCCATAGGAGACCAGGAGAAGTACCTGGCTCCTGCCATCGGATCAGCGCGGTGCGCCAGCCGCAGCGCGCCGGCTGCGGCGGCCACTGGAGGGTGAACCAGCGGCAAAGGAAGACCTTTCTCTCTCTCTCTCACTGTCCACTCTGCCTGTCAAAAAAAAAAAAAAAAAGAAAAGAAAAGAAAAGAGAGGAGGGAAAGAGAGGGACGGTAACAGGGAGAGAGAGACAGAGGGAGAAAGAGTGAGTCTTCCATTTGCTGGTTCACTTGCCAAATGGCTGACAGCTAGAGCTGGGCCAGGCTGAAGCCAAGAGCCAGGAACTCCCACTGGGTCTCCTACATGGGTGGCAGGGGCCCAAGCACCTGGACCGTCATTCACTGCCTTCCCAGGCATGCTAGCAGGAAGTTGGATGGAACTGGAGCAGCTGTGGCTCGAACCGGCACTCCAACAGGGAATGCTGGCATTGCAAACAGTGGCTTAACCACACCACAATGCCAGTCCCCCGCAAATATTTTTTAAACATTACCAGGTCGCAAGCACAGTGCTAGGCAGAGAATCTAAATAACTCCCCAGAACCTAACACAAATCTATCCAGTGGAAAGACATATACAAATCAGTGCCCACATAGAAGCGTAATTATGAACTGTATAGATGACAACAGGAAATGAAGAAAAGAACTACAGAGGAGACACTCTTGAGATTATCTTTATTTAGAAGAGACATGTACGCAAAGACCTGAAGGACGAGTAATCAGTCAAGTGACGAACACGCAGTAATGCCGATCTCTTCCAGAAACAGTTGACAACACATGGAAGGCAGATTAGAAAAGACGGCAGTTAAGAGCCTACTGCAATAGTGAAGGCGACAGATAAGAGTCCAAACAACTAAAGGTAGAAATGGCTAGCAGGAACCAAATGTGAAAAACCTTCAAAGGCAAGACAGATAGACATTGGTGACTGACTGGGAAAAAAGTGCAAGAGGAAGAAGTCAAGGAATTTGCCAGGATTCTACTTAGCTTAGGTAACTGGGAAGGTAGGCATGAGAACACATAAGGAAGGAGTAAGGCTGAAAGGAAAAGGTAAGTCTGGCTTATTGAAAAGAAGGTGAGCAGCATTCCACAGAATTTGACAGGCATGGGGCCAGCACTGTGGCGTAATGCGTTAAGGTGCCGCCTTTAACACCAGCATCCCATATGGGTGCTGGTTCACGTCCTGGTTGCTCCACTTCTGATCCAGCTCCCTTCAAATGTGCCAGGGAAAGCAGCAGAAGATGACCCACGTCTTTGGGTCACTGCACCCACGTCGAAGACCTAGATGAAACTCCTGAGACCTGGTTTTGGCCTGGCCCAGCTCTGGCCATTGTGGCCATCTGGGGAGTCAATCAGCAGATGGAAGATACCCCTCTCTTGCTTTCTTCCTCTTTCATAGAAATAAAAATAAATCTTTAAAAAAGATAATATGATAGATATGAATTAAATAGAGGTAGATCTTGGGAAAAAATTAACCCAAAACCACCAAATGCACATCCACACAGTGTGTGATTAATTATGGATTAATACAGTCAACACAGCACTCCTATGAGCTTGAACTTGTCTACTAGGATGGCAAAAAGGCAGGCAACACAAGCCATAGGCTAACAGAAATGAAGACAAATTCGCAGGTGAAAAAAAAAAAACTATTAAAATTAGAAAATGGAGAATGGACAAAGTAAAAGCAAAGACAGACTGTGGACTACTGACAAGCCTGAAATGGCCGGCGCCGCGGCTCACTTGGCTAATCCTCTGCCTGTGGCACCAGCACCCCGGGTTCCAGTCCCAGTTGGGGCGCCGGATTCTGTCCCGGTTGCTCCTCTTCCAGTCCAGCTCTCTGCTGTGGCATGGGAAGGCAGTAGAGGATGGCCCAAATGTTTGGGCCCTGCACCCATGTGGGAGACCAGGAGGAAGCACCTGGTTCCTGGCTTCGGATCGGTGCAGTGTGCCAGCCAAAGCAGCCATTTGGGAGGTGAACCAACAGAAAAGGAAGACCTTTCTCTCTCTCTCTAACTCTGCTTGTCAAAAAAAAAAAAAAAAAAAAAGCCTGAAAATACTTCTCGTGATGTTCCTAACCTCCTCCCTTCCTTCACTCAATATTCTCTTAGCATCTGTCACATGCCAAGTTCACCGCATTGGTGACACAAAGCACAGACAGAATTCTTGCTTGTAAACTCAAAATAATCTCATGTATTCAGCTCCTGATGTTCACCAAAAAAGCAAGCAAGCAGCCTAAGTTTTGCTACTCAGAACTACATATTGGCGTTGGCATCTGGCCTACTGGCCTAAACAGTAAACACCCACTAGTTAAGACATCCACATCCCACATTGACTGCCTTCGTTTGATAACCCAGCTCTGGCTCCCAGCTCCAGCTTCCTATTGATGCAGACCCTGGAAGCACTAATGGCTTTAGCAGCTGGGTCCCTGTGTGGGCCAACCACACAGAAGAGCTGGGTTGAGTTGGCAGTTTCTGGCTCCAGCCCTAGTGTTGCTAAGTGAACCAGTGGATGAGAGAGCTGTTTCTCTACCTCTTGATAAAAAATATCTTTTTCAAAACTATACATTGTTCAATAAGACATTTATCATGGTGACGCAAAAGAATATCTAAAGGTCAGCAAATTCTGAACATATTAATAAAATGGCATCAAACTCCAGCATAAATTAAAAGTCCATAAAATAATGATATGCTCTAACTTAATAAACTGCTGTGGACCTGGATTTATCACAGATGTTACATCTGACGTTTTATTAAACGGCTGAATTATTGCCAACAAAAAGGCAATGGACATCAAACGGCAAGATAACCAGAAACTGCATACCAGAAAGTGTATCAACAGTAAAGTAATACCAATTTTAGTGATCTCTAGAACAGGGATGATTATTGAGGTCTTACTTGAACCAGGCATTAAAGTAGGTTAAGCTGGTGCTATGGCTCACTATGCTATTCCTCTGCCTGTGGCACCAGTACTTCAGGTTCTAGTCCCGGTTGGGGCGCCAGTTCTGTCCTGGTTGCTCCTCTTCCAGTCCAGCTCTCTGCTGTGGCCCGGGAAGGCAGTGGAAGATGGCCAAAGTGCTTGGGCCCTGCACCTGCATGGGAGACCAGGAGGAAGCGCCTGGCTCCTGGCTTTGGATCGGCGCAGGGCACCGGCCATAGCAGCCATTTGAGGGGTGAACCAACGGAAGGAAGACTTTTCTCTCTGTCTCCCTCTCACTAACTCTGCCTGTCAAAAATAAATAAATAAATAAAGTAGGTTAAGTACAATATCTCACTAAACTTTTATAAATTCCTATAATAAACCTACCTAGAAGTTATTTTCTGTATTATTTTAGACAATGAAATTGAAGCTTAGAATAATTAAGTAACTTGCCCAAACTATATAGCTAGTAAATAAGGGAGTCAGGACTTGAACTTAGATCTGCCTAACCCTTAAAAATCTACACTCTACCCAACCCAACACAATGGAGAGACACCAGGCACACGATGAACCCCTGATAGTGTCTGTCATTGAAGGAATAAATAACAACATGTATCTGTAAGAGAGCTACTGCAGAACAAGCCAAAATGTGGAAGGAGAGAATGACACTTTATGAATGTTTTAAATCAACAGCTCGAACTGTGCAGCATAACTGTGGGTGTCCAGAAAACAGCAATCGACAGAATGGTCCAGAATGCTGCTACAGGAAGTGTAATATGTCTTTCTGTGTGAAGACTTCAGGCTATCTATGCGTCTACAAACGCAGACTTCAGATGATCACCGAAAGATACTTCCTGTATGTTCTGAGGAAAGGTTTCTTGACACTGAATTAACCTAGCAGTCAAGACCACAGGTTGCCTTTACCTTTAACAAGGAAGAAAACCACGTGTACCTGAAAGCTTATTACATGCTAGCACTGTACTCTTAAAACACTCCATGTTTTATGCCACTGACTCTGCCACCACGGCCACAGATGACAGCAGTAGAGAGCACCTGTTCCCCCAGCAGCAGTCAATGTATATAGACTGGCCGGCAACCTATGAAGAGACTAGCACGGAGGATTTGTCCAACAGGCAGTGTGCCTAACTGAACCAATCAGATCTACTGTTAGAGGAATCTGGACTCAAGCTACATGGAGGACAGAGAAGGCAGGCAGCAGAAATTATAAGGCAGTTACAACCACATTGACATACTCATAGACAGTGAGGTAACTGGTTACAACAAAACAGGGCTGGCTTTAGGCAAAGCATTTAAGACTCTGCTTGAGACGCCTGCATCCCTCATGGGAGTGTCGGAGTTCAAGTCCCGGTTCCACTCCCAATGCCAGCTTCTGTTAATGAGCGCCCTAGGAGGAAGCAGGTGATTTCTCAAGTACTTGGGTCCCTGTCACACACTTGAGAGATGGAGACTGCATTCCTGGCTGTTGGCTTCAGTCTGGACCAGTCCTAGATGTTGCAGTAATTTAGGGAACGAACCAGCAAATGGAAGAAGGTCTGTCTGCCTCTCAAATGAAAAAAAAAAAAAAAAAAAAAGAGGAAAAGGGCTAATAACAGCAAAGAAGCAGAATATCTCCTATGTCTCTAAGAGGACAATACCAGATCAGCAGTTACACTGATTTTTTTCCTAGTTTCCCTACCAGAAGTCCACAAGGCAAAGTTATACAAATACTTCTGATTCCCGTAAGACTGGCCATATAATCCCCAGAGAAAGCTTTCTAATACTCCTCTCCTCACTACCTACATACCAAGTAAAATTTTGTGCATGCAAAGAAAAAAAAATTAAAAAGCAAGCGTGACACGGTATTTTCTGACCTAGGTGGGTGATCTGCACTCATACAACTGCAATTAGAGGACATTAACAAGAGGGTCCATACTGTGCAACCCACTTCCATCTTCAGGCATCTGTAGTTTGGGCCTTACCTAGCCCTACTCAACTGTTCAGGGGTGGAGAACCTTTTTTCTGCCAGGGGCCACTTGCATATTTAGAACATCAGCCTGCCACAGATTTATTAAATTTCAGGTCCCACCTGCGGTTGCCTTGGCAGGGCCTTTTACAGAAGGTCCACAGCCCTCACCCCCTCACCCCCACCCCACCCCTGCTAGTTCTGGAGAGAAGGGCCTTCAAAGTCTCCTACAGCTTCACATTTACAAACCATCACAACTGTGCATTTAAGAGACTTAAAAAGAGATCTAGGGAAGTTACAGGAAACAAAACCATTTCTTTCAACAGTTTCCTGCCCTTATGTTTATGTAAACCTGTGTATTAATTTCATGGCAAGTGAATCCACTCTTACAATCACAATAAAGGATACAAGACTAGTCAAGATGGACAGGCGAAGAAAGGTGAAGTTGAAAAATTACTAAGATGTTTTCTAAGGATCTAAGTCTTGAGGCTAATTCATGAGTGTTACTAGATGTGTTTGCTCTACCAAGCCCATGAGTCTATCCTATCTTCTCAAAGTCTGATCAAAGGGAAGAAGAAAGCTGGAACATCTACAAACACCCAACACCTTGCATCCCAAGGAACTCAGCAAGTACCTAACCAGAAAAAAAGCACAAATACGACAAGGTCACTCTGCTGCAGAAGCTTATAAAAACGACCCTATTGTCCTTTTCTCCAATATTATGTCCAAAATTAAATACACAAAAATTCCTTCCGTCAAAGTCCTCTTTCCCACATAATTCAACCACTTACACACACTGTGTTCCTAGTGCTTCCCTATTTTTCTTCTTAGAAGAAACATACTTCTTGGTTTTCCTTCCCATTCAAAACAAAAGCTACCAGTCACAACCACCAAGTACTCTGGGGTTCAGGCCCGCCAAGACACCTATCTACCCAAGAAGAGCTTTTGCACAGCTGAAAAAGCAGCTCTGATGAAAAGCCACAGTCCCATTTCTCAGAACTGATTAATTTTCAGGATAATTCCAGATCAGAGATGGATTTGAATCCAATTTTCAAAATCTGAACTGTGATGAGCTATATGCAGTAAGGTTCATACTGGTGTAATAATTTCTCACCTGAATATAACATCACTCTCACACCTTAATAGTTACCAGATCACACAGAGTAGGTAGAATACCCAGGTAAGATGCCAAGCCATTACTACTCAAAACATCCAAAATGGGGTGTTTATTTTGGTTTGCCTATTTTTTCAACCAGGTCCTCTTATTACTTAACTACTACAATGTTTCATGAGCCAGGAACATGCTCCAGATACCTGAACAAGCATTTGAGTATCAGAATCATTTAGGCACACAAACAAGGTGTAGGAACCCCATTACTTGAACTGAAATTCAAGACATAAGCATTCATCCAAGAGGCCGGTGCTGTGGTGTAGTAGATAAAGCCTGGCACCAGCATCCCCCGTGGGCATCAGTGGGAGTCCCAGCTGCTCCACTTCCCATTCAGCTCCCGGCTAATCTACCTGAGAAAGCAATGGAAGATGGCCAAGTGCTTGGGGACCTGCACCCACCTGGGAGACCCGGAAGTTCTCCTGGCTCATGGCTTCAGATTGGCCCAGCCTCAGCTTTTGAAACCACTGGGGAGTGAAACAGTGGATGGAAGATCTCTGTTTCTCTAACTCTGCCTTTCAAGTAAATCAATCAATCTTACTTAAAAAAAAAAAAAAAAAAGGTTCATTCAAATTTAAGGGCCAGAGTTTTCTGGTTTTTAGTTCCTGAAAACTAAAATTTCTAGGATCATCGTGTTCATGTAAAAAGCAACATCAACAGCAGTCAGTTGTGTGGGCAAACTCTATCAGAGATAATAGTACTGGGACTTAGCTGAAATTTGGAACCTGCCACCAGACCACCACTGGCAGAACAGTTGATGAGTGCCGTTTCTTATCTCCCCATGACACATTCACCGAAGAAACTCCTGACTCAGCTGAATTATATTCTCTTTGACAAGCTCGCCTAACTGAATCTTTTCTTTCAAAAAGTACTACATGTATACAGGTTTTGTTTTATAAAAATATTTCAGCAATGTTTCTAAATTAATTCTTGCTCTGTGTTAGTGTTTGGCATGTGATCAGTAACATCTGCATGACAGGACAGATGCTAATGAGAATTCTGACAGATGGGCTGTTCTGGAAAGGAACCACCAAAACCAAGACTGGCTATGAAGCTGTGCAGAGCTACCTAATGCCTTTCTAAATAAAACGAGAAGCTCACAAACAAGCAGCAGCTACTACTATCTGACTGGAAGAGAACTACAGCAAATAATATAGTTGGTTGTCTTCACTGTTCCAATTTATAGAAAAGCAACAGGTAGAATCTGATGTGTAGCAATGACATTCTTTTTAATGCATAACTTTGTCTAAATTTATGTTTAATCAGTAATAACGAAATTCCACATTTGTAAATGCTCTCTAGGTCACTTACAGTAACAACATTTACTGTACCATGCCAGGCACTCTTGTGTTTCACAAAGATTTTTCATCTTAGCCTCAGAACAAGCCTACAAAGTGAGAAATCTCATAGCTGAGGTAACTTAGGCACAGAATGTTTTTAATTCGCACAAGGTCATATAGGAAATAATTTGTGGAATCAAAACCTTCCTTTCTTTTTTTTTTTTTTTTTTTTTGACAGGCAGAGTGGACAGTGAGAGAGAGAGACAGAGAGAAAGGTCTTCCTTTTGCTGTTGGTTCACCCTCCAATGGCCGCCGCGGCCGGCACACCACGCTGATCCAAAGGCAGGAGCCAGGTGCTTCTCCTGGTCTCCCATGGGGTGCAGGGCCCAAGCACTTGGGCCATCTCCACTGCACTCCCGGGCCATAGCAGAGAGCTGGCCTGGAACCAAAACCTTCATCAACTGATTGGGCTCCAGATCATAAGGTAATGCAGCGAATATGCAAATGTAACATTACACTAAGGGCACAGAGTGTTGTCAGATCCAGGATCAAGTCTCTTAACTATTATGTGACGCTGAGTAAATCACAGACTTCAATTCCTGTTCAATAAAACAGGGATAATGAAGAAACAGGTCTGACTTCATAGGGCTGCCGGTAGGGTTAGGAGCACGTAAACACAGTGCACTCAGCATACAGCAATCGCAATTCCATAAATGTTCATGATTAGCTATTATTAAGAATTTTCTTTATTTCCAAAAACTCTTATCCTGACACTGGTAGTATTTTGTAAAATAAATAGGACTTCCCAATGAGAAAGTTTATAAAATTATGATGTAAAGTCCCAAAGTAAATGATACTATTCTGAGATGGAAAGACTACTACCTGCTTTGAAACCATTATCAAACATTGCTTTAGAGTGCCTGGGTATACATAAAAATATTCAAGGCACTGTACAAAATTATCAAGACACAGTCTCTGACCGTAAAGATACACAATCACGTATACTAATTCTGCTGAGTGGGCACAAGCAGCAAAACATCCAACTCTGCACTTTTCCCCAACTATACGCAGCTATAAACCCCCCTTTGCTTGTGGTGTTACACTGGAGAAAGCACATAGAGGAAGAAGCCTGAGAACAATAAACCTCCCAAGTCCAGCGCAGAGAGTTAAAGATTCTGGCAGAAATGAACTGCATTTTCCACACTATTACCCTTCCTAGTAACAGTTACAGCTATCTTGGTTCTAATGATCTGTTAATCAACCAGGCCACGAGAAGACTGGAAGCTCAAAGGAAAATGATACAGAAACAGATTATAGGGGCTGGCGTTGTGATGCAGCAAGCTAAGCTCTGGCTTGCGATGCCAGCACACCTTATCAGAGTGCTGGTTCCAGTCCCGGCTGTCCACTTTAGATTCAGCTCTCTGCTACTGTGCCCAGGAAAGCAGCAGGTGATGGCCCAACTTGGGCCCCTGCCACCCACTTGGGTGACTGGGATGTAGTTCTGGGATCCTGGCTTTGGCCTGAACCAGAACTGGCTGTTGCAGACATATGGGGGAGTGAACTAGCGAATGAAAAGATCTCTGTTACTCTGCCTTTTAAATCAAAGACAAGAGAAATTCAAGTGAGAAATGAAAAAAGCCAAAATGATTTTAGGTACAGGAAACCTGTTTTCATTTTGCATTCTACAATACGCCTAATGCCTTAGAAACAACAGAGCTGGTCCTAACATTGCTGATCCTTGCTGCTTTTCAGTCCCAAAGATCCTTTTAGCTCTCAAAGTCCAAGGGAGGGGAAAAGCCAAGTGTTTCACTTAGCATTTAAGATGCCCATATCCTGCATCAGAGCTCCTGAGTCTGACTGCTGTCTCAGGCTTCTGACTCTAGCTTCCCACCAATACAGTCTCTGGGGAGGAGTGCGGGGAAGGGCAGCAGTGACAACTCAAGTAACTGGGTCCCTGCCACCCCACGTGGAAGACCTGGATTGTATTCCCAGCTCCTGCCTCTGGCCTCAGCCCCGCTCTAGCCATTGCAGGCATTTGGGGAGTGACCCAGCAGGTGGGAGTACAGTCTCTCTCTGTGTCTCTAATGAATAATAATTTTTAAAAGTCAGACAGAAAGGAGAGAGTAAGAGTACAGAAGGATCTTGTTTAAAAGCACAGCCAATACCACAAATGCATGTATCTTACAGCTAGGCTTCAGATCAACTGGGAGCACCATAGCTAAACCATAACCTCGGTAGTCTGTGGATTCCACCAGAAAAGCAACTTTCACAACTCCAAACTAAGGATCTAGAAAACTGCCATGGGTCACGGCAGAGAACTCAGAAGCCTAACTTCGAAAATGTTAGAAACTTTCCTATCTCATTTTCAGGGGTCATGCTATGTCAAGAGATCAACTGCAACTTTACAACTAGGAAGGTCACCCACTTGTCATACACTGTTTCCACACATATTTTCCAGAATGTACATGGGGAAATTCCTCTTTCTCCCATAGCAAACCACAAAATTCCCTGCCACTGCATCCATAGTTTCTTTAAAGCAAACTGAGTAAAGAGCCTATCAGCCATCAAGCAATATAACATATTCCTGTAACATGGGAAGGTACTTTTCAACAATAAGGGCAATCCTTGTCAACCAAAAACATAGCTCATATACACAAAAGCAGGCTAAGATTAAGGGTGGGTAATTTATATATTCTTCAAGGGTTTTCTTCATAGCAAGGGGGAAAAAAGCAGCAGCAACAAAAAAGTTGTATATTCAAGAAACATCTGCATGTTCATTAATGAACACCTGCCCAGTTGTACTTCTTCCACATCACTATACAACTTACAAAGTTGAACCACAAGCTATACCTGTTATTGCTTCTCATCTCCTACAAATGGAAGGTACCATTAGAAAGAAGGATAAACTGAACTCTACAGGAAAATTTAATTGACCAAATACCAACAAAGGTAAATGTAATTTACAGCTGGAGATAAATCTTAATATAAAATATAAAATAAGCCATTTATCTGCTTATTATTCATTACAACAAAAAATCTCATAAACATGTTTATATAGCCTATGTGTAAAAAGGCTTGACACAAACTTCTTATGTATTTTCTCAAGTCTCTGAAATGACAGAGCTCAAGAGTCAAAATCATCTAAAAGTAAAAATGGGTGGGGGGAGCTGGCACTGTGGTTCAGTAGGCTAGGCCTCCCCCTGCGGTGTCGGCATCCCATGTTGGGCACCGGTTTATGGCCCGGCTGTTCCTCTTCCAATCCAGCTCTCTGCTTATGGCTCGGAAAGCAGTGGAAGACGGCCCAAGTGCTTGGGCCCTTGCACCCACATGGGAGACTGGGATGGATGGAGCGCTTTGCGACTGGCTTCTGATCAGCTCAACTCTGGTAGTCACTGCCAAATGGGGAGTGAACCAGCAGGTAGAAGGCCTTTCTTGCTGTCTCTCCCTCTCTGTCTATAACTATACCTCTCAAATACATAAATAAAATCTTTTAAAAGTAAAATAAAGTAAAAATGAAGACCAGAAAGGAAGAGGAACAAAAAGTAGTTTCTAGTTACTTCTTGTTTGGTCTACCTTTCTAAGCTAGTCCCATTTTCTCAGGTTAGCTTCTCTCACATCTGCCATAAGCCAGGAATTTGGTTATCAAGATAAAACGTTCCCAGTATCTCCAGGCCTTTCTAATTTAAGCAAGTCCTGACGCTGTGCTATTTTTTCTCTATGATCCAGATGAAATCTTTTGACAGACTGTGGAACTCTTGTTTTCCCCTTTGAAATTCTGCAATTATTACAGAGGAGACATGCTGAGAAATGGTCCTGGGGAAACAAGCGACTAGAGTAAGGGAAGCCCAGCAAGTGTGTCTCCCTCTTCCAACAGCAGTGTGTTTTCCTTTCTCCCCTACAGTATTTTCCAAGCAAAGCAAAGAGGAAAAGGCTGACATACAGAAGAGAAAATGTAGTAAACAGTTACTCCCAAGTTTTTTAGAAAGCCTCTTATCTTTTCATTGGTTACAAGTACTGAAGTCTGGAAAAAAAATCTTTGGAATATGTCTTGTGTGCAGGAATGCATAAAAGATAACACCTTGCAAAAGTCAAACATACAGGTTTAATAATGTGCAACTAATGAAGATGGTTTATAAGTGAAATACCACCTACACATTTAGTTCCCTAAATATATTATACTATTAGTCATTATAGTTAGACCTATAAGACCACAAATCTTCCATATGTGGAAAAGTAAATCTGTTTTTAAATTAAGGAGAAATTATTATTCTATTACTTAAAAATAAAACTGTCAGGATATAATTCAAGTGTAGCTGCTCACAGTCACTGAGTAAGTTTAAAGATAATAAAACATTTAAGTTTCAACCAATGCACCTTTTTTTGAAGCACATTTAGCTGAAATAACTTTGAGTCTGGTTTATTTCCATCACATTTTTCCAACATTTTCCAACAAAAGCATGTACATTCAATATAGAACATTTCCAGCAACAATAACAGTCTCTCTAGTTTCCTTTCACAGTATATTTTAGTGCAAAGCACTGGGAAGGGTAAACGTTTTTTAAGCTATCAAAGCATTTTATTATGACCTTGTGGGATCTTCAACATTTTAAAATTTTATACAAAAATTATGTAGGTGGACAGGGTCCCTTCTAAGTACAAGTGTGAACCTATATAAAAACATGGTATATTTCTGCTGTTCCTTTTAAAATTATAATCTGACACAAATTAATAAAAAATAAAATATTCCCTAAGAAGTACAAAATATTAATGCACAAAAACCTGCCCAAAATTTCATAGATAGATGTACTTCTGTTTTTCCTAAAATCTTGATTACAAAAATGGCCAAGAATTCATTATTTTCTAAATTTTACAGTCTGAATCAAATATTACCTAAAGTGGTCACTTCTGATCTTTCTTGAAAGAGAAAAATCAGGGTTTTTACCCTCATTTTCCTTTTATAGCAGTATTTAAAGAAATAAACTAGTATCATTAGAAGTGTTATACATGGATTGTCTGCATCCACAAAACATCAGTAGGTTATTTACTACTTTCATGTTAACAATAGTAAATGTGTGTGGTCGTTTTTTTAAAAAAAAAATAGAAACTGAAAAATAAAGTTGCATCTATCATTAAAGTGCTTTGTATAAAATTTCAGGAAAAACTGGGGAATGTTTAATTTTCATAAAAACCTCAGATGGTTATAAATGAAAAAAACCTAATGATCCATTCATGAAAATGAACTAGAATTTTCCTGTAGTAACTATCTTAGAGAGACTATTCAAACACTTAAGTGCTAAAGAACAAGTTAGAAATAAAAGGATATAAAAATAATTACAAATATTTAATTGACTAAATATTTATAATATGTTGATACTAATTTGTCTTTTGTTTCTCTCATATACTCACTAAAAGATCATATATATGTACAATCCAGATGAAACTTGTGCCAAATAAAGTGAACCCAAACTAAAATCATTAAGATGTTAAGTCTTTTTGTCAATTAAAAACTGGTAGTTTCTTCAGGGTGTTGACCACTTTAATCATCAAACTGTTTGGAAAACAAAACGTACAATGTATCTGTAGAAACTGCAGACCAAATGCACAAGGTCAAGGTGGCTAGCGGATGGACTGTGATGACGACAAGTAATGTCGCAGCTACTGGAAAGTGCTGGGATAGGCACTGCCTTACAAACAAGTGGTTAGATGGTTATTATTTTAGTCAGAAAACAGCAGTTACAGTTGAAAACTTATGAGAATGTTTTTCTTTTTTTCCTCATAGTACCATGTGAAGATGTTTAGTGGTTCTAACACCAATTTAAAGTCTTTCCACAAAAATGAACTCCAAACCTTTTCGTACATCACTTGAAGTTATCTGAGGAGAAATGGGAATAAATGAACACTTTTGAGTTTACCAATAAAACCTTGCTTTTAAAATTATACAACATTAAATGACTTCCTAAAGGATGGTTTCATGTTGAGTTTTCCTCACACACATACAAAAATGTGTGTGACAATTAAATCACAACACTTAACCTACTCAGCACTCAAAGTAAGTAATTTGCTTTAGAACCTGAAACTAATTAATACTCATTAACTACATTAAATGCCTTAATACAAGGGACACAAGTACTGAAGGTAAATTTTTGAAATATTTACTTTCAAAAACGAGTGTAGGGAATCTACTTCTTATTTTATATTGCATTTTAAAAGTCTACATTTGTTCCAACACTTTTTAAAAATATTTTTCTGCCTTCCAAATGGGTATTTTCCTTTTCTTGCAACATACAACCACCAAAAAAATTTTTTCTCTACTTAAATAATAACTATGTTGAAATGATCACTGAGAAGTTTATTAAACAGAACGAAAAAATAACTGGATCTAATAATTACTTTTCCCATAGAGCAAAACTGAAAAACAGTAACACACACTCCCAAGAAAAAGGGGGGGGGGGGGGACACGCAAGCTTCTGCTTTGCCACCTTCCCCTTTTGCTTGCAAGCACTATGTTTAAAGCAAATAATAAATGTTAATCCTTCTAAAGTCAATTTGGGGATTGTTTTTTTCTGAGTGCACCACTTTATTCAGCTGTCACAGAAATTAATTTTTATAATTGCAGTGCCTCAAAATATTATTTTCCTATAATTATTGCCTTCACAAATTCATCCTAATATATTTAACTTTCCTACAATGCATAAATTAGTAGTCTAAGTCAATGAATCAAATTAAACCCGTGCAAAGTTAGTTAAACAGAAGACTTCTATTGTAAACATAAGCCAATATAAAATGTATATACTTTAGAACATTAATAGGAAAGCACTGACCCTGTGCCATCTACCTACAACTACATTGCATTGTCCTATGGAAGATAAGTTCTGGAGGTTAAATTTTGTTCCCAAGCCACTGGAATAAAGGTCACTGAAGAGGTAAATGCAATACGCACATTACTCTTGCAGTTCCCCTTGCCATGAGATATATGGAAGCAAGCACGTGTTAAAATGGAACCAGCTATAAATTATGGTCAAATGATTTTTTTAGTTCGATGGGGAGGGAAAAGCAAAACTCTGTTAACTGTTCCTCACCAGACAAGAGCCTTAGATCTTGTACTTCGGCCTTTGGTTTTGTTTCCTTCAGGTGAATTAGAAGCATTTGCCTTATGAGTTTTCTTATGATGTTCAAGATAAGTCTTTTTGGCAAATGCCTTTCCACATTTATTGCATCTGTGAAGAGAAAAGTTTTTTGTGACTTTTACTTCAATACCGACGTCTGCTACTTCGTACTTTTTACTAGGAGAATTAGAAGTGCCATCGTGTTTTGATTCACTATGTTTTGCTTCGTCCCTTGAAGGGCCTCTTTTTGCCACTTTATTTAGAACAAAATCAATAGGCTTTTTTATAGCTCTGATCTCTAAACTGGCTGTTATTTTCCCAAGATAGCGAGATGACTTTTTATGAACCACAGTTATATGTCGGATCACATCGCGTTTCCGCCGAGTTTCGTAAGTGCAAAGAGGACACTTGTAAAATTTAACATAAATGTTATTTCCATCTGTGTGCAACTCAATGTGTTTAGTCAAGTTTTGTTTAGAAGTAAACTGACGTTTACAAAGTTTACAGTAAAGTTGCTTAAAGTCAAAGCCAGCTGAGAGCTTGGGTTTCCTGGGTTTTTGCAGGCCACCTGCAGCCGACGGACTAGTTGATTTAGGACTTTCAGAGTCTTGCTTAACTTTATTTTTCTGTGCTGCCGGTGTGTTCTTTTTTTCATTTGAATGATTTGTTCCCTTTAATTCATTCTGTGGAGAATGGGTAATGGAAGGGGGTGAAGATTCTACAGAATCTGCTGGTTCAACTTTAACTTTTATTTCTGAACTGTTGGCAGTATTATTAGGGCCTTTCTCTCTTTTAGAGTTTGTTCCAGAAAGAGTTATCTTGTGGACAATTTGCATATGTCTTTTAAGCATTATTTGTGAACTATATTTCCTCTTGCAAAGGAGGCATTTGCATGCAGTTAAATTGTATTCAGCCTTTGAAGACGACTTTTGTTTTCGAGTCTTAAAAGATTTTTTAGGAGAAACAGAATCCAGGAACAAAGGTTGCCCAGGCTTTGTTGCTATATCAGGAGTAATTGAATCCCTCCTTAGTCCTCTATGAACTTCATCAAAATGCCTCCTCACATTCGCTTTTGTAGCAAATGATTTACAACATACTGGACAACTCCTACTTAATGGAACTAGAACATTCTTAGTGCGTCCTTTAGAGGGCTGATTTGGATTCTTTCGTGTTTCAATGTACTTTTTTAGTTCCTCCATCTTTTTCTTGTGTACTTTTCGAATGTGGCGACGAACACCTCGTCTAGAATTGAATTCTTTTCTACAAAGACAACATATCAACTGGTGGCCAAAATCAGAATTGTCTGAAGTTTCCAAGTCAACCTGTGACTCCTGAGGTTGTTCATCTGGTGCAGGTGCAGCTTCATCTGCAACAATCTCAACAGGCGGGGGCTCTTCAGCTTCCACCTCAGTGTCTGTAACTGGCACTGTTTTCGGCTGCTCGGCGGTAGCTTCCTGTATTTCCACTTCAGCTTGTTCAGGAGTACTGCTTGACTCTGTTACTTCAGTAGGATTATCAGTCCTTGAAATATACTGGAACACTGCATTCTGATTTGTTTCTATGGGTTCTAGCTTAATAATATATTCTCGCTTGTCCACACTTGGATATATGGCTTCTAGGAGATCGTTTATGGCTTGGCTTTGTTTATCATTTACATCAGGAAGGTCTGTTAAGGAAAAAAACAACATTTTAATCTGGAATAATTAGCCTGCTATAGCCCACTAATATTTTAACATGTAATATGAGCCTCTTCCTTAAAATTTATCACTTTATTGGTTCATAGTTATTTTTATAAGAGCATCATCTACTCTTTAGTATTTTATGAAGATAAAAACTAGTATTCATTAATCTAAAATATGCCTTCATTTAAATTCTCATCATGGCACACAACTGTTAAGGAACAGGTGCAATCTGAACAGCTATTTCTGCCTCTAAGTGCCTTTAATATAAAACATAAGAACATGGGTGTCCCAACAATAAAAATAGTATTTCATGCTTTAATTTCAATGTTTTAGACTAGCAAAGGCAATTCAAAGTTCTCAAAATCCAGGATGCATAAAATATCATGAAGAATGTTACTGTGTAAGTAAAATTATCATTTTTAAAGAAAACATAACAGCATTCCTATTCATCTATAATAATTAATCTCTTCTAATCATATGGGGACATTTGACTATCTTAGGGAAATGAGAAAGCTAAGATTGTAAGCAATCATATAAACATGAATGGAGAAATATTTGCTAAATTTAGTCCTACTATATGTCTTCTTAACATGACACAACTTTTTTGAAACAAATGGTTTAAAACTATAAATTTATTTCAAAAGTAGAGCAAGTTGTATTTTCTTGCATAATAAGCAACCAAATATCCTCCTGTAACCAAGCTGCCTAACATTGCTTATATTTCCATATACAACCCTACAATCTAACTACAATAGCACCAAATCTAATCCATGTTTTTAGGTATGGAGAAACAATTCATGACAGCAATGAGTATTGTCAAAGACTACACAATAATCTGGCAATGCCTTCACCTATTTCACTCAATCAGTAAGGTCTACAAGTGAAAACTAGCAAAGAATAACTACCCCAAATAAACTAATTTTCTAGTAGTATTTTAACTAGAAGGTCAAATTCAAAACTCATCTCTCTAGACTTCCTTTTAATTTATATCTCAGTAATAAAAAGCAGCATAATAAGAAACACTAGTATGAAATTAACAAATATGAAATTTTTGTCTCATCTATGCCTGACAATATACTTTCAGTCAACTTCATGATAACTAAAGCAGCCACTCTGATATTTGGAGTCTGCATTTGTACAGCTGGTGTCAGAATGAAGCTTTTGGCACAGGTTGTGGTTACATTTAAGGTTTGCTTGAGGGCTAAGGCCCACAACAGGGCTTAGGGTTACAGTGACCGTTAGGGCTGGGTTCAGGATTAGAGTGGGAGCCTAATCATCCCCATGCCAAAAAGGTTAAGTTGAAAAATGCATAAAATCCATACAGTATCAGACTGGCAAAATAAGTTTTATCTTTTGTTAAGTCCACAAAGTTAAATCTCTGAATAAGAAATAAGTACCTTATTATTAAATATTTTAAGGAATTTTTGTTAATTACTTTAAGACAAAAAAATACTATCATATATCCTGCTAACTTAATTATATAGGAACAGGACATTCAATTCTACAAATATCTGGTTCTGCAGACTTTATTATTGTGCTACCCGCCTTCATCACATAGCTATTTCTGATCTGAAGTTAGCCTGCTACACAATCTAGTATCTGATAAAGAGAGACCTAAATAAACTTCACTGAGAACAAATCTAATCCTCAAATGGAGACCCAAAAACACTAGAAGATTTTTAAATGCTCTCTACTATTCTCAAGAAATCAGTTAATTTACCCATTCTTTGTTCTTTATTTCCAACCTTCTGATTTACTTAAAGAGAAATAAAGGGATCCTATCTGGTAATAAGTTATTAAAAAAATAAAAAGACAGGGGCTGGCGTTGTGGTACAGCGGGTTAAGGCCCTGGCCTGCAATGTCAGCATCCCATATGGATGCCGGTTCAAGTCCAGGCTGCTCCACTTCTGATCCAGCTCTGCTGTGGCCTGGGAAAACAGCAGAAGATGACCCAAGTCCTTGGGCCCCTGAACCTGCATGGGAGACCCAGAAGAAGCTCCTGGCTCTTGGCTCCTAGCTTCAGATCACCTCAGCTCTGGCCATGGCAGCCATCTGAGGAGTGAAACAACAGATAGAAGACCTCTCTCTCTGGCTCTACCTCTCTTTTCTCTCTGTAACTGTCTTTCAAATAAATAATAAAATAAGTCTTTAAAAATAAATAAATAGGCCGGCGCCACGGCTCACTAGGCTAATCCTCCGCCTTATGGTGCCGGCACACCGGGTTCTAGTCCCGGTCGGGGCGCCGGATTCTGTCCCGGTTGCCCCTCTTCCAGGCCAGCTCTCTGCTGTGGCCAGGGAGTGCAGTGGAGGATGGCCCAAGTGCTTGGGCCCTGCACCCCATGGGAGACCAGGAGAAGTACCTGGCTCCTGCCATCGGATCAGCGCGGTGCGCCGGCCGCAGTGGCCATTGAAGGGTGAACCAACAGCAAAGGAAGACCTTTCTCTCTGTCTCTCTCTCTCACTGTCCACTCTGCCTGTCAAAAAAATAAAAATAAAAAATAAATAAATAAATAGATAAATAATAAAAAAATAGAGTGTTTGGCCCAAAGGCTAAGATGCTGCTTGGGACACTTACATCTCATACTGGATTCAAGTCCCAGCTCCACTCCCTAGTCCAGCTTCCTGCTAATGCACATGTCCCTGCCTCTCAAATAGAAGGAATTTAAAAATTTTTGTTAAAGAAGAAAAAGGGGAAAATATCAAGAAGTTGGTTCTCTTTAAGATAGCATTAATATTTTAACTTATAAATACCTTGAATATAAGCCATATGACCTGTATTAGATTTTTTTTTACCTGAGCATTTATTTCTTCTCTTTTTTGAGACATCGTATTTTTCATTTATATTATAGCCAAAGGCTTAAGTGCCCTACTAAATAAAGAGTTCAACAAATAAAATGTAAGATGATTGCAGTCCAGCAGGAAACAGGCAAGGACCATAAACAATAATCAAATGAGAAGATGTTCAACTTCACTCATATAAATTGTAAAAGTCACAGAATCACTAAAACTACAGTAGTGTACAATTCTTATCGATCTGTTTGACAAACACTTAAAATTTCAGAAAATACTGTATTTGCCCCAAACCTAATAAACACGGGCATTTCTTTTTCTTTCTTTTTTAATTTTTAGCTTCCATATAGAAGGGAAAACATGCGGTCTGGCCTATTTCACTCAATACGATGTCCTCCCGTTCCAGCCATTTTGCTGCAAAGGTCAGGATTTCATTCTTTTTAATAGCTGAATAATATCCAGTGTGTGTGTGTGTGTATGCACATCTTAATCCACTCGTCTGATGATGGAGATCTTATTTATTCCATATTTTCACTACTGTGAACAATGCTCCTATAAACATGGTAAAGCAGATACCTCTTTGTTAAAATGAGTTCACAGCTTTTGGGTACAAATCCAAATAGTAGTTTTGTTGGATCATATGGCAGGTCTATTTCTAGTTTCTTAAGAAATAGGGATGCTGTGATGCAGTGGGTTGAGGCCATGGCCTGCAGTGCCAGCATCCCATGAGCACCAGTTCAATTCCCAGTTGTTCCACTTCTGTTCCAGCTCCCTGCTAATGCACTTGGGAAAAGCTGTAGATGACAGCCCAAGTCCTTGGGCCCCGCACCCAAATGGGAGATCAGGAAGAAGCTCCTGCCTCCTGACTGGCTCAGTTCCAGCTGTTGCAGCCTTTTGGGGAGTGAACCATCAGATAGAAGACCTCTCTCTGTCTCTACCTCTCTCTCTGTAACTCTGTCTTTCAAATAAATAGAACTTTTTTTTTTTTTTTTTTTTGACAGGCAGAATTACAGAGAGTGAGGGGCAGGGGGAGAGAAAGGTCTTCCTTCCGTTGGTTCACCCCCCAAATGGCCACTATAGCCGGCGCACTGCGCAGATACGAAGCCAAAAGCCAAGTGCTTCCTCCTGGTCTCCCACGTGGGTGCAGGGCCCAAGCACTTGGGCCATCCTCCACTGCCTTCCCAGGCCAGAGCAGAGAGCTGGACTGGAAGAGGAGCAACCAGGACAGAATCCGGTGCCCCAACCGGGACTAGAACCCAGTGTGCTGGTGCCACAGGCGGAGGATTAGCCTAGTGAGCTGTGGTGCCGGCTCAAATAAATAAATCTTAAAAAAAAAAAAAAAAAAAGAAAGAAAGAAAGAAATATTCACACTGCTTTCCACAGTGGCTGCACTCACTTAAAAACTAATATTTTAATACAAATAAATGTAATCTTAAATCTAACTTCTTATATATATTTAGGAAAATTCAAGTGGAAAAAATTATTATGAAAGTATCTATGAAACTGAATATCACATTGAGTAAAGTACTTCATTCTATTCTCCATTATTAAATTATCTATAATATTGATACCACTTTAATGCAAATGTATAGTTATAGTATAAGAATACCTAGCTATAAAAGGCATAACTGATTATATGAATAAAACTTACTGTCATCCATCTGGAGACTTGGTGGGCAGTAGAATTTTTTATGGGTAATTAAATTTGGTAATCCTCTGAAGAGACTGCGACATAATTTACATTCAAAAATAGTGTCCACATCTTTTAACAAAATATGCTTAAGTTGTTTAGTTCCTGAGAAAAAAAAGAAAGGAAAACTTAACATAAAAGGTAATTTTAACATGCATTTTTAAACTGAGCAACCACTGTTTACAATCCAAAAGTGCAGTTGCTCTTTGAAAACAAAATATTGCCACTGCCAATTTCTACCACAGTATATAAGAACTAAGTTATAAACTACATTCTAAGCAAAAACCTACTATCATTTGGACAGCTAAAACTGATGCTTTTTCTACTTCAGCCACATACTTGATCTTAGCCAAAAGGCTGAGAAGCGATTCTACTTCAACCAATTAATTCCTGGGATAGACTAAGGCAGAGGTTCTGACATCCAGTTGATCACTACAATGGGTTAGGAATAAAGATGCAGGCAACCTTCCCCTTGAGATTCCAACTCAACATTCTGGAGTAGGCAGAAAATTTAAATGGCCCACCACTTCCAGCACAACGGTTTAGCTGGTTCTGCCAGCTCTTTCCTGCATTAGGAAGTGAACAAGGAGATTTTTAATACATATTCCCTTAATTCCTTGAAGAAGTCTGAAATTTTATCACATGATTGCCTGTAAGTTCTCTTTTTAAATTCAGCTCCAATTACTTTAAGTTCTGGGCCAACATGGGATTTTGGCTTTTTAGTGCTATACTAGGGAATCTTTGTCCTTAATGAGAGATAATTTTGAATTTTGCTTAGGCTTCCTAACAGTACTATCAATTTATTCAAAGCCTCTCTCCCACAAAACATTTACCCCAATTGCAATTAATAAGCACTGATGTGGTTACTGGTTAAATGCTCTTCTTTACTAGATTATAAATTCCACAGCAGGCAACACCAAGCCTATCTTATAGCTACAAAGTGTTCAGCTCTAATAATGCTCAGTAAGTATTTGTTAAAGAAGCGCCAGTGAATCAGAGGATCTAAGCTTTATGATGGAAGGTCAAAACGTGAAGAAAACAGTAAATGAAAACAAGAATATAACCTTGAAAATAAAAATACACACCAGGAACAAAATACACATGGAAGACCTTTTGTCACAACTTGCTACAGGTCTTTAACACAGGTAGGCTGACAAAACTGATCTGTAGTACCTTATTAATTACTGTGTTTTTAGTTTCCTCGAGTGAAAAATAATAAGGGTTCAGTGTTGTGGCACTGAGGGTAAAGCCAACACTTGCGACGCCAACATCCCACATGGGCACCGGTTCATGTCCTGGCTGCTTCACTCCTGATCAGCTCCCTGACAATGGTCTGGGGAAAGCAACGGAAAATGGCCCAAGTATTTGGGCTCCTGCTACCTGCATGGAGTCCCAGATGAAGCTCCCTGCTCATGACTTTGGCCCAGCTCAGCCCTGGCCATTGCCATTATTTGGGGGAGTGAATCAGTGCATCAAAGATCTCTGTCTCTCCCTCTTTCTGTAACTCTGACTTTCAAATAAATAAATAAACCTTCTTAAAAAAAAGATAATAATATTGAAGGAGAAAAAACCTAAGTGCCCTGAAAAATACCTTTAAGACTATGTAGGTGCAAAACTTTCTGTCATTCAATAAGCACTTGACTACCTATCAAACTCTGGCACTACTAATGAGAATCAGGTATGAAGTATCTTATTACCATAATTAATATTGTAGAGTTTAGAAAAGTTAAATGTTTCCATCAAATGATTCAATCAATTTATAGTATGTTTACGTGTGATTTTTAAAGTGTACTGTACCATTTTTAAGACAGGTCAGCTCTCAAAATTCTCAGAATCTGATTGATTACCAGTTCTTAGAACTTTACTGTCTAGAGATTCCAAATCTGGTACTAATTAGTTGTGCAACCTTAAAGAGCTATATCATGCTTGCACTTCAGTTTACCTATCTTACAAAACACAAGGCAAAACTCATCTTGAAGAACCATGAAAGAAAATTGAGTTTAAGTCCCAGAAACTTTAAATTGTACACCTGCATTTCTACTGGAAAAAAATTAAGACAAGGAAGTGTACTGGTACCAGTGGGATGATAAACAGATTTCTGCACACTCATTCTAAAAGACCTGCTGGACCCAAAATTAGAGATTCAATTCTGAATTTAAAGACATCAATAAATATTGAAGAGGAACAAGGAAATAACATGAACTAGGTTTAACTTGGGAATTTAACGAAGATTTAAACAGAAAGTGCATGGTAGCAGATTTAAAGCATGCAATAGTCTGTAAACAACAACAGATCATGCATAAAGAAGTCAAAGGTAAAAATATCCATAAAGCAGACGTCTGACTTGGTCTCCCAGGTTCTCTCAACCATATCAGACCCAACACACTACTAATTTCTTTTCCCCTGGCAGCAAGCAAGCTAGCAAAGCTCACTGAAGAGCATGCACCTGACAGCCCAGGCAGGCATCCCAGCAAAGAACTGAGAACACAAACGGCATTTAGACGAGTCTGTATGGGTACAGGCCCACTATCTCTCCTCCTGCCTCCCCTTTTGTGGGATACTGCTGTGTGGAGGCCTTTATGGGACACATCAATTTCTTAATCAGCCCTAGTTATTCAAGCTATATTCAGCAGGAAGTACCTATTTATTATCAATAAACATCTAAAAACATCTGACCCTGACTTTGACTAATCAATCATCAATCACAAATACTTCCCCTCGGCACACCCGTGCACACACACACACACACACACACACAGTTACTATTGATCCAGACATACCAAATTTCTTTGAGTTCTAGAGATAATACCAAATGTTCTTTCTCCCTCACTTTTCAAGCTTCACCTACATTTTTCTTTTTTCTCTCTGGCTGTATCAATTCTCCCACTTCCCTAGTCTAGATCACTTACAATAATCCTTCAGATCCCAGGGTAGATGGAAGCCTTCTGACACTTTGTAAGAACTTATCACTGGCCAGCGCCGTGGCTCAATAGGCTAATCCTCCACCTTGCGGCGCCGGCACACCGGGTTCTAGTCCCGGTCGGGGTGCCGGATTCTTTCCCGGTTGCCCCTCTTCCAGGCCAGCTCTCTGCTGTGGCCCAGGAAGGCAGTGGAGGATGGCCCAAGTCCTTGGGCCCTGCACCCCACGGGAGACCAGAAGCACCTGGCTCCTGCCTTTGGATCAGCGTGGTGCGCCGGCCGCAGTGCACCAGCCGTGGTGGCCATTGGAGGGTGAACCAACGGCAAAAGGAAGACCTTTCTCTCTGTCTCTCTATCCACTCTGCCTATCAAAAAAAAAAAAAAAAACACACACACACACTTATCACTTATACTCTCTATCACTCTGTACATCCTGAACTAGTTTATCCTCCTCTTGTAATTAATTACTTTTCTGTATCCCCATTAAACTGGAGATCTAGGAGAACAGAGAAGGCTCACAGTGTATTCCAGGTCCTCAGGTTAAATGGCACATGGAGAACCCTGTTTAAGAAAATCTTCTCTAAAGAACTGAAAATTAATCTTGATGTGAATGGAAGGGGAGAGGGAGCAAGAGATGGGAGGGTTGCGGGTGGGAGGGAAGTTATGGGGGGAAAAAGCCACTGTAATCCAAAAGCTGTACTTTGGAAATTTATATTTATTAAATAAAAGTTAAACAAAGAGAAAAAAAAGAAAACCTTCTCTAAAAATAAGGTTTTTTTTTAATCTATGTAAAATGGACATGGGAGGTCAAAATTATCTTAAAGACTTCCTAATTATACTTTCTACATTTTACAAATGAGAAAAATAAGTGTGTCTCATTTGTGGGGAGCAACTCGGACTAGACTGAGTTACTGGAATTAAGACTTATTCTATGCATCTGCTCTCCCACAATATGGCGCTGGGAGAGGAGGAAACAGCTTCTACACAGCTGCCTCCAGTTCAACCAATAAACAGCAGGACCTGCTCCTGATTGGAGGAGAGCAGCGTGCTCCGCGTGTGGGTAGCAGAGTTGGGATTGGTGGAAGAGGACTATAAAGGAGGAGAGAGACAACATGCATGAGGAACATCTATCTGAAGGAACACCCGTGCAGCCCCCAAGAGAGCCGGCCGGCGGTGTGCCACTCCCCCGCAGAAGTGGGGAAAGTGGCAGGGGGAACCGCCCTTCCACGGAGGTGGAAGGGACGGTAGCCAACCCGGGAAGAACCAGCAGCAAACCCAAGAAGGGCCGAGCAGACGGAAGAACAGCGCAGGGTCCTGTGTGGTTCCTCCACGAAGAGGGGGAGCGACATAATGGTGCCGTGACTCGGATATGAAGCCTAGGCAGGGTTTAGTGTTGCTCCTCCATGAGGAGGGGGAGCGACACTCATTCACAAATACAGACTACAATAAAAACAAAATCATTTTCTCTGTGCTGCTTTCAGGCACCATTCAAAGCTTTATGGGAGCAGGCATTTGACCTGCTTGAGATGCCCGAGCCCATCTGGGAGTGCCTGGGTTCATTCCCAGCTCCAACACTGACTCTAGCTTCTTGTCGGAAGGCAGCAGTGATGGTTCAAAGGACTACATTCCCACCACCAAAAAGAAGATCCGGACTGAGTTCCCGGCTCCAGCTTCAGTTACAGCTTTAGCCTTCGGGCCTTTAAAGGCATTTAGGGAATGAAACAGCAGATTGCAGGGAGGGGGTTGTCTCTCTCTCTTTCTCTCTGTCTCTTTCTCTCAAAATAAATAGTCTTTTAACAAGAAAAAAAAAGGAATAACTTGTTCTCGGAGATGAAATAATTAAAAATAAATGAAGTAAAGGTTTTACGTTTTTCCATAGGAATGTAATGGCTGTTTTCAATATCAGCTACCATTTTCTGATTGCTTTGCTCACTTAAAATTAGACACAGAAGGGGCCGACGCTGTGGTGTAGCAGTTAAAGCCACCGCCTGCAGTGCTGGCATCCCATATGGGTGCCGGTTTGAGTCCTGGCTGCTCCTCTTCCTGTCCAGCTCTCTGCTATGGCCTGGGAAAGCAGTAGAAGATGGCCCAAGTGCTTGGGCCCCTGCATGTGCATGGGAGACTCAGAAGAAGCTCCTGGCTCCTGGCTTCGGACTGGCACAGCTCTGGACGTTGTGACCATGTGG